TAAACAGAGCATTTTTACTTAAATATTTGTATCTATAAAAAGAATGTATAAACATAAAAATGTCTTAAAATAATTGTCGGACTTTGTCCATTTCATATTATGTGACGTCATTTGTTTACATTTGATACGTCATGAACAGATATGAATGTACGTGAGAGATTCATGGAGAATTGTAGTTTAAAAACAGTAAAATCGACATTGCTAAGCGAACGATCCTCTGTGGCACAAGCGGTAAAAAAGCACGTTAGGCTATATAACGGTTCCGTATAGGATACAGGTTCGAATCCTGTCGGAGGACGAATATTTTCTATGAAAATATCTCGGACATTCAGGCTGGTAAATGTTGTTTAATACTGCTTATTATAAACAGAGCATTTACTTAAATATTTGTATCTATAAAAGAATGTTAAACATAAAAATGTCTTAAAATAGTTGTCCATTTTCATAATATATATATATACTGAACACTAATTATATATGTATATATAATACTACAGGCAAAAGTTTGAAGCCACCCTGCATTTCTGTAAAAAAAAAACACCTTAAAATGAGATATATATGTATTTTTTAGAGTAAACCATAAAATTTCAGTTGCTGCAGTACATTTCCTTTTATTTTTCACCTTATCTCCGGGCTCCACTTACAGCCAAAATTTTTCAAATTCTTCTGTCTACAATACGTTTTACTAAATTATGAATATTTTGAAACATATAAGAAACATTGTATATTGTTTTAACCAATCACCCCACAATAGACTTTCAAGATTACTATAATATTCTGCTAAGTAAAATATTAATACAGGTTGTAAATGTTGAGTCAGCATTGACTAATGTTGGAAACAAAACATATATAAGTGTCACTGTTTGAAGAAAATTAAAGATTGTGCGATAATAAATGTATTTTCATAGATTTTTTTTATTTATCTCTTATTTCAATGTAATTTGCACAAAATGGCGAAATCAAAGCAGCTAAGATTGAGGGTACAAATTGAAATCTTATTCAAATAAAGCTAGTCTCAAAGTCAAATTGCCAAGAAGATGGGATGCAATATTTGTTACAAAAGGAATTAGAAACTGGTGCAAGTGTTTACAGAATAAGAGAGCAGCACCAAAAGTGACAATTGCTGCTGAAGAGAAAAGCTTCATTATTGAAAGGAAAATAAATAAAAGGAAAACTGCTCCAGAGTTGACAGCTGAACTTAATTTCTCTCCACGACTTTCCGTTTGATAAAATCCCAATTTATCAGCTAAGTTAAGTTTTTCTTTTACAATTATTCGTACACACACACACACACACATACATATATATATGGCGACAAAGATGAGGACAAAAGTCTGAATAATGTAAATAGTGTTCACAATAAGTTTTGTTAAATTATGAATATTTTGTATGAGAAACATTAATTTTGTTTTCACCAATAACCCCACCGAAAGTGACAACTGCTGCTGAAGAGAAAGACTTCATTATTGAGAGGAAAATAAATAAAAGGAAAACTGCTCCAGAGTTGACAGCTGAACTTAATTTCTCTCGACAACAACCAGTGTGTGACTGTCAGCTGTGAAAAACAAACTTAGATCAGCGGGTTGCAGGTGGGGGTGTGAATAACCATCAAGTAGATATTTATTTACCCCCCCCCCCCACACTAAGTCAGGTTATGACACAAGGCCAGTTTTTAACGTGGGAGCCCATTCATCTTTAGACCTTCCTGTTCTTCTCCTGTCTTTTCTCGTCTGTTACCCCTCTCGATAGCTTTCATTTACTCTAACATTCGTCCCACTCTCTCATACTTACACTCTCTCTAAATTTTATTTTTTATTCCCGGACTTGTTTTTTCTGTTTTCTTTTTGAATTTGTAGGTCTGATGAATTGGATCGTATTTACGATTCCAATGGATTAAATTATGACCATGGAATATTAGTGTTTAAGCCTTTTTATCATATTCTTACTCTGTCCTGGACATTGAGTTCTACCTGGATTCTATCCTCTTGGAATTATTTTTTATACAAATATATATGTATGTGTATGTATGTATGTATATTTATATATTTTAGATATATGATTGCATATGTATGTGTATATTTACCACTAATATATATATATATATATATATATATATATATATGTATGTATGAAGCTGAAACTTTCTCGCCGTCCTTACCATTATCAGATGAAACATTAAAAATCGGAGGCGTAAGGCCTTCTAATTCGGGACGAGGACTTTTCATCATCTCTTCGAATAATGGTATGTCTTTTAGCAATCATATAAGTTAATAGAATTTAGTCAAGAATCGCAATTCTCCATTCGTGGATTTTTTTTTCTCATATTCTCCTCGTGCTTTCAAATCATCTCCGACGCGGTAGGAAAGCTTGAATCTCGGCATTTCCCGTTCGAAATTATTTCACACCTTCATCCCTTCATCGGCCATTTTTCCATTCTCTTTTAGAGACGTACAACCATTATTTATTGACGATGCCAGCAATTATGAACGGAGATCCCGATCTCCTACTGAGGCTCATTAAGGACCATATGAACAGAAAGAAACTTTTCTGCTCTTTGAGAAGCAGGTGAGTGTAATTTCTCTCTCTCTCTCTCTCTCTCTCTCTCTCTCTCTCTCTCAATATATATATATATATATATATATATATATATATATATATATATATATATATGGAGGTGTAAGAAAAGGAAAATATATATATATATATGAACGAAATTATATATATATATGAACAAGATTATATATATATATGAACAGAATTATATATATAGATAGATATGGACGAAATTACAAATATACGAATGAAATTATATGCATATACATACATATATATATATATATATATATATATATATATATATATAACAAAATAATATACGTATATGAACGAAATCATATATATATATATATATATATATATATATATATATATGAACGAAAAATATATATGAACAAGATTAGATATATATTAACGTCATTATATATAAGAGATAGATAGATAGATAGATAGATAGATAGATAAGGAAATCATATATATATATATATATATATATATATATTTAAACGAATATATTTATATATATGAACGAAAAATATATATATGAACGAAATTTGATATATATACATATGATCGAAATCATATATATATATATATATGAACAAAATTAAATAGATACGTATATGAACGAAATTATATATATATATATAATCAAATACATATATATGTATGAACAAAAATATGTATACATGTATGAAATAAATTATATATATATATGCGAACTAAAATATATATATATATATATATATATATATATATATATATATACATATGAACGAAATTATATATATGTACATATACATATATTTATATATGAACGAAATTATTTATATATAAAATGATCATTTATATATATGAACATATATGAACGAAAAAAATATAAATATGAGCGAAATATATATATATATATATATATATATATATATATATATATATATATATATCTGTGTGTGTATATGTCTGTATAATCTCGTTCATTACTTTTTTTCGTTACGAGCAAACGCCTTCCCAAAATGGAAACCCGTTGTTCATTCAAGTTTCCATTCGCTACAAAGTTAATGCGCCACTGCCTTGCTAGGTAAAGTAATAGGTGTCCCCCCGAGTTCGTGTACATGTAGATATTGTATAAAAACAGATTCAAGAATGACTACCGATTGTGTTCTGAAAGAATTTCGAGGGAGCACCGAAATAAATACAAAATATGGAAAACATGGAGAGATGAGTCAAAGGAAGATAAATGAGATATCCGGAAGAGGCGTGGTACGTGGAAGTAGAACCTGGTAGACGAAATAAATTTCTCTGTTCGAAATTTCAATCACCTGAAGAAGGCCGGGCCGTACAACGGCCGAAACGTGGTGAATATGGCAATGAAGATGAGGACGACAGTCCGAACAATGTAAATAATAAAAAAGAAAATAAACTTGCTAATATTAACTGAAAACTTTAAATATCTTTTGTGGCTTAGATGATTTCAAACGTGTATATCGTCCACGGCGCTATAGAGTGAGCTGTAGGAGCTTCAGCCACGCTCACTTATGGCTGAAAAAGAAGACTAGATTTGTCTTCTTGGCTTGAATCTATGACAGGCGATTTGTATAAATTGTCTAAAATCATAGCGATTAATTTCCGACTAGTTCTGCTTTGATAAAATCCAAAGAAGAATCTGCAATGTTATTAGACCTGACCTGGCATCTCGGGCTCAGTCATGTTTCCACCGCCTTAACATCACTTCACTGTGTCTTTTCTATGAATATTTTTATGGCATTTGTTTTGATAATCTTTCCTCTTTGGTACCAAGACCTTATGAATTTAATAACAGTACTGGATTGGCGCCAAGTTTCATCATTTTAGAGTTGAACCGTAAGTTCTATGCTAACAGTTTCTTCTTTCGTACGATTGTGGAACTCTTTTCTAGTCAACTTTGAGATTCAAAAATTTAAATACAATATCAATTCTGTCTTCTTAATTTATGTTCTTTTGTTGCCCTCTCTGCTTAATAATGATTTTGTTGATTAATTCATTTTTTACGGCTTGTCAACCCTTTGCAGTTTATTCAAAGCCAGAAAATATTTGCACCTTAGTGCAAAATAATTGAAACAACCGTTTTAGTTTCCTTTCTTTCACCATACAGTCAGTTTTAGACCCACTAGAGTGACAGAGTGTAATCGATTTCTATTTTTTCCTCAGATTAGGTCATTTGCAGTGGCGTGCAGTAATATGAATCTATTTTCCGGGTGTCTGATGAAATTTATTTGGACTTGAAAAATATTGCATCATCTGTAACTGCATCAGATTTTTATCATGCCTAGACACTGTTGTCTAGACTGTCGATTAGTTGTCCTACGGCCATTGTCTGCGATGGACGTTACTGCAATGAAGCGTCCGAAAACTGTAACACTGCACACACATAATGACAAACCTTACCAATTCCGAGTCATTATCCATTACAGCACCTGGTATTTTCCCAGCGCTTACCCATCTAGGTACTGACCAGGCTCGATGTTGCTTAACTTCGATGATCGTACGTGAACCGGTGTTTCAACGTGATGTTACCGTAAGCTTTTAACAATATTAAATTTTATTTTTCTCGTATCCTCTCACACTCAGTAACCTCCTTGTGTCTTAGTGGCTTTATTGCCTTGCTTGGCGGGAAATGATTAAAAGATCATAAAATTCTATCTGACTTTTCTTCGAGGTTAGCTTTTAAATTTTCTATATAAGTATAACAAATAGTAAAAAGTCATGTATATTTAACATCGAAAAATAAAATGATTAAAATATATCTCATAAAATATTCATTTTCAGGGATTAAATAAAATATATAGAAGTATGTTGTCCTTAAATGTTTACTGCATGTTTAGAGGCATATCAACACCTCTATGGGTTATTTAATGCAGAAATACCAATAATTTGAACACAATTTTATGGCTTTACCTAAATATATACCATAAATAGGTAATGTTAATTGGTTGATTTTTTTAGCGGCATATCAACACCTCTATGGGTTATTTAATGCCGAAATGTAAATATTTTGAACACAATGTTATGGTTTCAACTAAATATATACTATAAATAGGTAATGTTAGTTGGTTGATTTTGTTTAGCGGCATATCAACACCTCTATGGGTTATTTAATACCGAAATTCAAATATTTTGAAACACAATTTTATGGTTTCAACTAAATATATACTATAGATATTGTTAGTTGATTTTGTTTAGCGGCATATCAACACTATCTATGGGTTATTTAATGCCGAAATGTAAATATTTTGAACACAATTTTATGGCTTTAAATAAATATATTTTGAATACTAGTTATGACTTCAACTACAGATAAAATGTATTGTTCGGTGGTTGGTTTTGTTTAGCGGTATATCAACACCTCTGCGGGTCATCTAATGCCTAAATATAAATATTTATGACACAATTTTATGGCTTCAACTAAATATATTCTTAATACAATTGTATGTACTACAGATAAAATGTATTGTTGGACATTTTGTTTTAAAATTCTATTGTTCGTAATTTTTTTTTGTATAATTATATATTGCTGGTATTTTTACTATAAAATTGTATATTTGCCCATAGCTGGGACCCTAACAGATGCTACCACCCGAGTCAGGGCGGAGCTGGGAACAACAACAATTACGAGGTACGCTGAAAGTCTCAGTCACGATGACTTGTGACTACATGCTAGCACAACCGTCGACAGCACCCAAAAAGAGTTCCGTTCACACAATTTCACTTTTTAAAGATGTCGCATGCTGCGACCGACTCCCCCGCCCTCAGGCCGATAATATTGTCACCTTTTTTATAAATAAACTATGGTGAGATTCAAACACTGTTCTTATGGTCGGAAATAGGAACCTTCTAGCCAATCGGACATTCGCTCATATATTATTATAATTGTTGAATCTAAGGAGATAAAGTCCCTCTGATCAGAAATATCAGTAGATAGTTTTGCAGATCGCCCGGTCTAGATTTCTTCCCCGTCTTTTGAGCAAGAGGAGAGGTTCATCCATTTTTTCCTCTTTAGAAATAGGTTTCCGTTTTCTTCTCCTAAATTCTTCCCATCCCCTTTCACTTCCTGTAACCCCCCCCCTTGCGTCTTAGTGGCATTGTCGCCTTCCTTTTTTTTTTTTTTAATTTAAAAGGGAAGCAAGCTAGTAATTTTGTTTTTAAAAAGGCACCCAGCCTTCAATTTTTAGGCGTGTCTTCGAAATCCAGGTGAGTCCCCAAACGTTTAACGTATGAATAGGTACATATATATTTTTATATATATATATATATATATATATATATATATATATATATATGCGTATTATTATATATATATGCATATATGTATAAGTATTTATATCTGCATCATATACATATGTATATTTACATATACATATGTGTACTTATATATGGAGATAATTAGACAAAGTTAAAAGCCGAAAACGCGTTTCGCCTCCGTGGGTTGGGGAGGCGTCTTCAGGTCGGAAAGAAATAGAAAACTGTGTGTGCGGAAAATGCGCAGTTTTCTTTTTCGAGGTAAGTTTAATAAGTAACCTTATTAGATCCAACGACCAGAAAGAGTTCTTTTTTTCTATTTTTTTTTCTTTTTCTTTTCTGTTTCTTTTTTTGTTTTTTTCTTTTTCTTTTTTTTCTTTTTCTTTTCTGTTTCTTTTTCTTTTCTTTTTTTTTCTTTTCTGTTTCTTTTTTTTTTCTGTTTCTTTTTTTTTTTTTTTTTTCTGTTTCTTTTTTTTGTTTTTTCTTTTTCTTTTCTGTTTCTTTTTCTTTTCTTTTTTTCTTTTTCTTTTCTGTTTCTTTATTTTTTTTCTGTTTCTTTTCTGTTTCTTTTTTTCTTTTTCTTTTCTGTTTCTTTTTTTGTTTTTTCTTTTTCTTCGCTTTTTTTCTTTTTCTTTTCTGTTTCTTTTTCTTTTCTTTTTTTCTTTTCTG